GCAATCTTCTCCTACCTCACCACCCTATCTTCTACCGCATCCTCTCCTACATCCACATCTTCCTCTGCTCTCTTTTCTTCCTCATAAGAAAACCTTTGTTTCTCAGATTTCCCCACCCAAGTCCCCTCCAGAAACACTTGAAGCCATCCAAAATTTCCTAAACATTACCAAAAGAATGCTCCAACTCTCTCATTCATCCTCTATTACTGTTCGTTTAACATTCAAAGTGTTTGCCAATATTCCACCTCCTCCTCCTCAAATTTACCCTACCACTCTTCAAAAAAACACCCCATCCTCTCCTCCATATGCAACACCATTCCCTCTTCATTCCCCATTATCCTTACTGCTCCCGCCTGGATACTCACGAAACTCCCTTATGTCATCACAGTGTCCTTCTCCGGATGCCAACCATCCTGACATTCTTCCTGATACTTCACCACCTGCCCCTGTTCCCTTATCTCAATCTCTAGAATTTTCTCCTACTTCTCCAACGACCATTTACACTTGCATTACCCGCTGACTGTTTGATAAGGGATCTTTTGCAGTTTTCCTCATACAGTGTTACTCTCCCTCCCCCAAACACATCCTCTCCATTTGCTCCCTTCTCTATACCCTTTTCGCTACCATTCTACAACCTTTAACAACTACCACATATTATCCTAATCGTTAACTCATTTTTAGCCTTTCGACACAATACTTTACCATAGTGCTATATGACCTTTGATGTCTGGCACATTTACTTCTAACCATTAACCTTTCAAATCAAGCGCATTGGTGCAATCAGAGTACCATCATGGAGAGATAAGGTCGGAAGGGTCGGGGAATGGCTGTAAATGCAGCTCTTATTGACAGTAATTGTGAAACACGTATGCCAGTCAGCTCTATCAAAGCACCAGCATGGGGGATTAGGAAACGGGACAAATGGAGTAGGAGAAAGGAGAAAAAGGAAAATGGCAACCATAGGGAAAGTAGACAAGAACTAACCAATGAAAGTCTAAATGGAGAGAAGGGGAGCACAGAGAAAGATCACGATCGCTTGTCAAAGTTTGTAGGGCGATATGAATTAAGAATAATTAAGTCAGTTGTAAAGAGGAAGCATTCCAAGGATCGGCGACGGGAGGTAGTGGTGGAATCGCCCAAAGAGTGAGGCAGCTATTAAAATCACCAACTATGAGGAAATGTGGTTGCAGTTGGGAAAATAGAGTTTCAAAGGCAACAGAGTCAATGGGGTGGGAAGGGGAGAAGTAGACTGATATAACTGTGATCAAACAGTGAAGTAAGATGCGAAAAGCTGTACACAGGACAGTGGTTAGAAAGGAAGTTTAAGATAAGGTGTTTTCTGGTAGACAAATATAAACGAGAAAGAAAAGGAGTGTGAGGAAGACACAAAATGGTATTTGGGTAATTTAACGTGGTAAGAAGTCTCCCTATTATTGCAATGCAGAAGTTATTACGACATAACGAGTAATAAGGTTAAAAATGCGTGTCGGAGAAGTTGGAGGGGAAGGAGCCAGGGGATGAGACAAGGGATGAGGGGGAGGAGGTGAAGTATTAGGAAAGGTCAGGATGGGAAGGGTCTAGGGAAGAGCACTGTTTTGACAAAAGGGATACATTTGTGTATCCTAAAGGGATAGCGGGGAAGGAAGGGGTTGATGTAGATGGAGCAGGGGAGGGGGGCGGAATGGGGGTGTGTTGGGGGAACAAGTATGAGAGTAGAGGGAATGGGAGTTGTGAGACTGAAGGGTGGATAAGGGGAGGAGACAGACGACTGAAGAGTACAGAAGAAGGTAGGTGGAGTAGAGGGCATGGTAGATGGGGTAGAACATTTAGATTGTAGAGCAAGAAGGAAGAGGGGTAGGTCCCAAGGCAGTGGCAGAGACTGGATTTAGAGTGACAGAAAAAAATGACTGGGAGAGGGGTGGGTGTAGAAATGGAAACATAAGATGGAGGAAGAATAGATACTGGGGGATGGGGGGTAGAAAGGGGAGGGACAAAGCGAAGGACAGCAGTGGAGTGGGGAGTAAGAGAAAATAAATCGTCATCATTGTGTTTTCCGTCTGATCTCCCGTAAAGTGAAGCCACGGTTAAATTTGAAAATAGCTACCTCAGTCTCAAACTTGTAGGTAGGGCAGCCTCTATAAAATACATTATGAGAGCCACCACAATTGGCACACATGTGTAATTGTGCAGAGTAATTTCATTGGTCATGACCATGTTGGGTACACAAAGGGCACCAGGCTGTGGAGCGGCAGTATTTGGCAGAGTGGCTTAGACTCAATTTTGACATTGACATGGGAAGGTTGAGATTGATATGGTCGGGAAGGACTCTCTGCCAACATAAACATCACTACAAACATATCTACATAAAGTAAACTTGTCAATGTTACAATGGCCTTTAAGGGGAATGATGTAGCATTGTACTGATATTGCGTCAACAAGGCAAGCGATGTCTTCTCCACAGTTTAATCAATCCTCGTCACAGACAGTGCATTTTGTCGGGGAGATGGAAACAGTTCCGGTACAAATATTAGGTGATAATGCTTTACCTTGGTTTTCAGATGTAATTGTGACAAGGCGGGAATGATCGGGATGATGCCAAATGAAACTTTGCCCACATGTCTATGAAGGCATTGCTGGAAGAGTATTTTTTTCAGAGTAAGGGATTTATCCCATTTATCTTGGCTAAACATAGTATCCAAAAGGTTTGTAGGGGTGGGGGTGTGTAAGAGGGAGTGGTGTTGGGTGAGGCAGTGCTGTAGACATTATGGCTGTGGAATTCATGTCGAAGAAATTACAAGTAGAACAACGAAAGGAAGTACAGGAAAGCATACAAATGTAACATGCCGAAGGCATTTTCTTTTTATTGCTTCATCAGGGCAAATAAGTCAAGAGATACATAGAGGTATATATATACATGTACTGAGTGGTCAGGTCACATCGGTAATTAGGCGTTCGACGACCTTGGCTAGTTCGTGGTTCCCCGTTGAGGGGTAAGGGGATCGGAGATATTGTAAGGGAAAAGAGGTCAGACCACAGCAGACCTACTAGCCAGGTGTTTAGCATACCTTGCAATGGCTGTGTATATATAGGTTAGACAAGACGCCGCAACGAACTGGCCACGGTCGTCCCACACATAATTACCAATATGACCTGACCGCTCAGTACATATATATATATATATATATATATATATATATATATATATATATATATATATATATATATATATATATATATATATATATATACACTTCTATGTATCTCTTGTCTTATATGCCATGATGAAGTAATACAGCGAAAGGCATATTCATGTGTTTTCCTGTATTTCCCTTCGATGTTCTACTTACAATATTGTTGCTGAGTAGTAGTCAGGGAGGAGGGGGTAGTAGATGAAGAAGGCTGTGGGAGTGGAGGAGATAGAGTCGAGGAGGTTGGGAGAGGAGGAATATTTTCTGGAGATGGGAGTAATGACATACGTGGATGATTTGGACTGGACTGATGTGACAGAAGGCACTGATGAGGGGCTAGCCGTAGCAGTGTTCAGAGTTGTGTCAAAGGTGAGCCTGGGGTTAAGGAACCAGGAGAATTAAAATCAGTGGGGCTACTTGCTAAAGGGGCAAGTCTCAGTGCCCCTAATAAAGAGCAAAATCTTCATTAAAGACCATAGTAAGCCTGGAGTATGTTGGATAGAGAAATAGTCCACCTCTCAGGTTCTGCTTGGGGGGTAAGGGCTAGATAACTAAACAAGGGAATATGATACCCATGGCTCGCCTAGACCACTCACGACTATCACAAAGTCAGCCTTTCACTCTTTCAACAGAGCTGCCGCTCCTTACAAGGTAAATAGTAAAAGGGGTAGGAGAAGAGAAGAAAAAGGAAAGGGGATGAAAAAAAGATAGTAAAAATTAGTTAGGTCAAAGAGATTGATGTGAACTTTATTTGAATTTGAATTTTTTTATTATTTTTTATTTTTGGGGAGGAAACTAAGGCAAATTTCAAAAACAAGCTCCCGTCAAACTCCTTGGATCTTATCGATGTTTATGCTGATTTTTTTCATTGCAAAGTATGCAACAGTGTGGGCCAATAGACCTCAAGAGATGTATGTTGTAAAAAGTTTATTGAGGGAGGCATCTGGGAATTTCCACAAATTTTATATCAAAGATGTAGAATGCTAAAATGAACAAAATACCCAATTTTGAATAAAATTGGGAAGACAGTTTGGATTTTTTTATATGAAACTAATTTACCCCCCTTCACCCTCCCCATTTTTTACCTGCCACCACCATTTTGAGTGACAGTCCCCTTAAGATTAACCCATTGCCGCCGGAGACGGCATGTACGTACGTGCCATGCCCACTGTGAGTCGACTTGTTCGATTGTTTTTACACATAGATGGCTACACTTGTACTAAGTATCCAATGAGCCAATTACAGTACTGCCTGTCTCGCCCGTTCACCCTTGTCATCGATTTACGAAAATATTTAACGTTATCCTAATTTGCTGTAAAAAATAACACCATCTATATTTATAGCACTAGTAAGAATACGTTTTTTCCCACCAATTCGAGGAAAGGTGAAGTCAGGACTAGCAGAGCCATCTATGGACAGACATATTTCACAAAAATATAAAAAATGAGTACAGAATTTTCCCCCTTTTTTGTTCATTTTCCCCGGCGGCAATGGGTTAAAAGGAATTTTTTCATTTGCTCTCCCTTAGTTCATGATATACCGTACTTACAAAAAAGGAATGATTCATGATACCCAAAAATTGGAGTAAATTCCAGAATAATGGGTTAATTAAGCAACTGAATAGTACTTTTTAGGCATTCAAATCATGATTAGTTATGCTAATGTATACATGTGAGTTAATTTGATTTTCAGCACCGGTGACACAAAAGACTTAAAAAAACAGAAAATAAGTATTCTCTTTTTTTCACCGTTTTTCAGTGGTAGTAAGTAAACTAGGTAGAGGTTTCTCATAATGATTAATAAAACAAAGAATTTGCTAGGAGTGTATATTTAAAGTCTCAGGTCATATGAATCTTTCTGTTACGTATTCTGCTCAACATTATCACATGTTAGGAGGAAAAGAGAGAAAACTGTGACACAGGAGTAGGTACATATGAGAGTGAATGAATTCCAGATACAAAATCTATGATAAACATTTTCATATTACTTATAATTCCCATAAAGAGGTAATAAGGAAAGGTCAACACTTTACTTGCATTGTGGAATTATTCTTCCTTGTTCATACTTTCTTCTCCTTTAAGGAAACTGGCAAATTAGATACTTTATACTGTATATCTAATGTTAAATGATGAACAGTTCAGTTATATTTTTAAAAATATACTCACTTGTTTTATATTATTTACCAAATACAATAAAAATATTTAAATATAATCACACATGAATATATCTATATTACAAATGTTCACACAGTGTGGTTCAACTTCAACCCTATTGGCCACTTCAACATTAATTTAATCAGACTTTGGCTACAAATCATAATCGTAATCTTCCACTGAGATTTTCACTCAAAGTAAATGTTGTACTAGTAACCTAATATTTCACATGCATAATTATAGAGGCAAATACATTACTTTTTTAAAACTTCTTTAAAAATAAATACATTTATTGATACAAGGGCTTGCAGGCCAGACAAAATTAATACACAAGTGGTCCATTAGGCTGTAGTCAGACCACCCTTTGAAAACACATATAGTCTAGTAAACATGTGAAATTGTATATGTACATGTATTTATATAAACACAATATAATCTTTGGTTGCGCTAAATATACATGTTTGTGTATCTTTGTTGCTTGTGCAATTTGGTGTTTATATTATGTGTATTTCATATATAAAAATTGCAAATTTACACTGGTGTTGTACTGATCTTATGCACTGGGACAAATCACAAGTTTATAAAAACTTAACTAATTAGGAAGTTGCACAAATTAATATAAACAACTATGCACAAACTTAACTTAAAGACATGCATTATAGATACACACTCAAGAGAATTCCTTTAAACAAAGAAAAGCCAAAACCTGTTGGATGCTTTGTGGATTCTCTAGAAACAGTCACATGGAATAAGGTATTTGTTAACACAGTATATCATATATTAAATACACGTCATGCAAATTTGATTCACAAAATAATTTTCTTAAAAACATAATGTCACAATAAAATATTGATTTATAAATAAAAATACTGACTTGTAATATTACTGTTAATACAGTACTGTACTTGGTTGCAAATCACAGATCAAGTAATCAGGAAAAAAATATTACAGCTTGTATTATATGTTTAGCTTTTCATTTAATATGAAAAACAACTAAATATATAAGAAACTCAACATCATAAATCAACAATACAGTTTATCACTATATAACTTAATCATTCATTATGAATGCCACTTTTCTAAAATTCAATTAAATTAATTTGATTTAACATGGCATAGAGCACAGAATTATGTATCTTTATACAGTGTAAACAACATTGTTATGCAAACCTATTTCTAAAAAGAATATGACAAGAACTCTAGCACAATATAGTTATGAAGAACATGCATAACATAGCTAAAAGCAAATATATAAATATATGACATATATACGTATACAAAAAAGGAAGTAGCTGTATATAATAGATTTCTATTTAGGTAGTCATAGTTTCCATAATGCCCATTACTGCATAAATACTTCCCTAACTTAGAATATACAAATGTTTCTTATGTAAACTGGAAACCTCAATCACTTGAAAGAACTTGGCTCACCATGGCCAGCAGGGATCTTCACAGTATCTGAGCCATGCCCCTATGTAACCTTCTTGCACATCCATCAGACTTGTATAAGTAGTTAGCTGTAATGGAAAAAAAGCTGTATTTCACTAATGTCTAACTGGTGTGTAATTAGTCAGCTGTAATGGAAAAAAAAATGTATTTCACTAATGTCTTCACTGGTGTGTAATTAGTCAGCTGTAATGGAAAAAAAAAGCTGTATTCCCATTAATGTCTAACTGTTGTCTCTACTATGATTATTCTTCATGTTGATAACCTATGCATGTAGAACTTGGGAGGAATAAATTATACTATGCATTTCTCAGAAGAAGAAAAAAATGAGTATTTCACTAATGTGATCAATGTCTCTTATAATAATTATTAAAACTTGATATATGTGAATGAAGAGACTGGAAAAAAACATATTTAGCATCTTTCATTAACATCTGCTTTCACAATAATTTAATTTGAGAGACACAAGTAAAGACAAAAAAGTAAATAAATAAATAAAGTAAAGGTAATATTAACCTCTTTAAAATAGATATCAGACAGAAGTGAATAAACAAATAAATAAATAAATATTTACCCTCAGCCAAAATGTTGATGGACATCTTTAAACTATTCCTGTCACCTCTTTAGCTCATACCTCTAGCACTAAACACTCATTCCATTCCCTCCTCTCAATCCCTTGCTTCTTCTTGTTGGGTGTGGGTTCACCCCTACCTTGGACCTCAGTCCTCACCTCAACTGATTTTACATGGTCTTTTCTTCTCCCTCTTTCCTTTCCCTTTTCTTCATCCTCTTCTTCTGTCCACATATCCTAATCATTAAACTTATTTTTACCCTGTTTGCCATAATACTTTATCATAATGCAATATGACCTTTGATGTCTAGCACATTCATTTGTTTTAACCATTCTGGAAATCCACAAACATTGCCTTATGACCCAATAAACTTCCTTACCTGGGGGCTTCACCCTATCGCTATATTTTGAAAATGGCACTAATGACCTTAGATGAAATAAATGAAATAGATCACTCCATTCTCTGGGTAGAGGATAATCTTACCTGTATTTGATGACAAATGCCATCAAAGACTGATCTATATTTCAATGCCACTATACATGTTATTTCTCACCGATGTAAGATATTTGTAAGATTTTACACATTTAAACAGATGATATTACTATCATAATTATGTATCTCGTCACATTTTAATTGCTTTCATGAAGAATCTGTTATTTAACAGAATGGACTTATCTTATCTGAATAAGTAAAAGCACAGTTTTTACTGCTTAAAAAAAACTTACCTTATTGAAAACAGGTTTTGTTGAAAGAACATTGTAAATAAGTGCAAGAGATGCATTTTTCTGTCCTGACTTATCCAAACAGGTGACAGCAGGTGTCCTCCTGTCATCATAAAAAGGGGGTGACTTCCACTGGTCATAGTTTGTTTCTACAAGATACCATGTTCCTGAGCCAGATTTTTTTGAGAAGAGGTCATCTGTGTGGAAGTTGTCTCGCCATCGTGTAATAATGGTGCCCTATAAAATACAATTCCAATTACTTACATGTTAATAATCAGTATCTCATTTGCAAAATGATAATCAATATGATATACATATACTCATTTGCCTGTAGGAAAAGTACTAAAGATCCATTCAGTATAACAATGGCTATACTTGCCTCTCTAGGTTTTGAGCCTCCTAGGATGAAGTATGCTGGTGCAATAAGACGAGAATGTGAGAACATTTTCTTTGCTTCTTCATAGCTTTGGGCTTCTTCCATCACTTCTCGTGTCAAGAATGATACCCATCTTAAAAGAAAAATTAAATAAGTAAATATGTAAGCAAGTAACGGTCTCTAAATAGAATATTAATTTGTTTTGCCTAAAGACAATTATTTAATTACACAATTTTTATCATATAGTAGACAAGTAATAGAATGAGCCTTCTAAAGGGCCACTTATAGGATTTCCTTCTTCAGCTACACACATTACAACAAATACTTTCCATTTGCTCTTTCAGTGGTTACTAAATCCTTTTTACCTGAGCTTTGCATATTACAATAACATGTGATATCTTATTTTTTCAATAGACAAAAGGGAATAGTGTCCATCTCTGAACAGGTTTTGTGACAATTACCATTAACCCATTGCCGCCGGGGAAAATGAACAAAAAATAGGGAAAATGCTGTGCCTATTTTCTATATTTTTTTGGTGAAATGTCTGCCCATAGATGGCTCTGTTAGTGCCTGATTTGAAATGGTGGGAAAAATGTATTTTTCACTAGTGCCATGAATATCGATGTTGTTATTTTTATTATAAACATTATAATTATTATAATATTTTTTTAACATTAGTAACAGCAAAATAAGATAACGTAAAATATTTCGTAAATCAAAGAAAAGGGTAAACGGGCGAGACAGGCGGTACTCGTAACTGGCTCATTGGTGATTTAGTACAAGTGTAGCCATCTATGTGTAAAAACAATTAAACAAGTAATCTCACAGTGGGCAAGGCATGGCATGCCCATCGGCAATAGGTTAATCTTTCTTAATTAATCATTCAGTTTGTTGACTATCATAGTCATAAAAAAATATACAATTTATTTTTCATTGAATATGTCGTTCATATATGTGAAAGCATATAAATATAAGTACACTTACATTACTTAATACACATACAACATATCATGTGAAAACTACTTACTTTTGTGAATAATCCTTAAACAGGATCCACTCCAGAAATCCCATGTAACCACCATTTAATACAAATCTCTCATCTAAACTGAAGGTGAACTTTTCCTGAAAATACAGGTACCTTTTTTTAAACAGTGTTTCAATAAATGTTCTAAATAAATCAATTGTTTAAGAATGAATCATACAGTGTAAGAAATGTTTCATATCTTTCATTCAGTCTGAAAATATAGAGGCATTATAACAAAAAATTATTAAAAACGATGGTATACCTTCTTGACTGCAGTGAGAATTCCAATATACCCAGCATAGTTTATTGATTCATATACTGTTTTTCCTCCTTTCTTCCATTCTAGATGAACAACAAGAGGCTTTAGTAGCTCAGATACACGCCATGTATGATTTTTTGTATCCCACCTATTGGAAAAAGAATTTTATACATTGGAAAAAATAAGTCTGTTAAGTAACATAAGCATATAACTTCTTTGCATTGTATACACTGTATACTAAGTGGGTAAGAAATTATTTTCTGTTGAAAAAGAAAAGACTCTATAGTCACAATTACAAAGAGTTAAATACATCAAAGCAATACCTCTTACATAATAAACAAAATATATTACTTTCATTCTTAATTAGGACTTAAAATTTTCTACCTGATTATGAAGAAATATTCTGTTCATCATAGAAATTCAATTTATCTGTCTATCAATTCAGATAAACTACTTTATACCAACAACAAAATCATACCCCATAAGTAATCCGAAATCAAGATTTCTGCCATGGTACAATCTGCCAGTTTCATCTTCTGTGATGATTGAGGTACAGAAGCTGAACACCTCATAGAAAATGTTATAGAGAGTTGTTTCTGGAAGGGGGAGTCCTGTGACCTTCGAGATTCCGATGATTTCTTCATCATATGGGTGGGGTAGAGAGGTGGCAACCTTATCAAGGTTAGAGAAGAAATTCAATATATTTTACATTAATGGGACATTACTTGTATCTACCTCTTCTTTGTAAAAAAAAACAATTACTAACGAAAGGACCATTTAATTGGATTTTCTAGATTCTATTTATTATTCAGAAGGAAATATCAAATTTTAGATAATATCACATAAATAACATGAAAACAGATGGCCAGATAAATACCTGTATACTATAATGTACATTGGATAGGAGTATGAGGAACACATGTTAGAAGAGGGAAATGTAAATCTAACTTATTCTCAATCAGTAAATATTAAATATTATCAACAATATCAACTGGGAAAGGAATTATTATAGA